CAGTGTAAAAATCACAAAATTAAAGTTACAAAAGAAGGTTACATAATAGATAATAGTACAACAGAAATTGAATAAAATAAACTCAGACAAAACTCAATATGAATGGAGCTGCTATGTGTCCATGGTGTATGCAATATATACAAGTAGTGCAGTATGATGAATACAGTGAAAACTATATGTCCATGTAGCCATTACGGGTGATTTGCTAAAGGAGCTGCAGGTTGGCTGTTTAGCAGTCTTATTGCCTGAAAGTACAGTAGAAGGTATTCAGTAATCTGCTGGACTTTGACCAAAAGCTTCGGTACTGTTTACCGGATGGTAGGAGGGAAAACTGTTTGTGACTGGGATGACTGGTGTCCTTGAGAATGGACCTGGACTTCAGGAATGCTAAAGCTTATTTGGGGCTAAGAATTTGCTTCACTTTTTTTTGGAATGATGTTCTGTGGCGGTCCAAACCCGAGAAACTGAGTCATTTTCGTCATAACCACTGATGAAGACAAAAAAGGATTTGCTAAGTTTAAATTTGTGTGCAGAGCCAATAGGCCTCTGAAGGTGAAATCTTTTGATTATACAGTAAGGTGCAGTACACCACATAAATCATTGAGGTGTGTCCTATTTGAACAGAGTGACTGGAGAAGAATTCACTGAGGAAATCCAGACCTCGTCAGTATTCCTCGGAGAACCTAGAGGTACCGGTGTCTTATAATTACATGTCCATTTTCATCAGAAAGGAGAGTCTTGAGGCAAAGCTCTCTCGCTGAGGTGCAGCTGGCAGAAAGACACCAGAGCTTGGTATAGACTGATGAGATTCTAGTGCAAAAGGACAGTTTCCTTTCCAAACTGATCTGTTTTACTCTTCTTGACACGGAATACAGGAGAAGAGGAAGCTTTTTCAGAACATCAGAGAAACAAAAGAAGGCTAGTAGAGATAGAGATTTGAGTGTTTTCGTTCAGTAGTAGAAGTCATTGTTTTTTCTCATGGTGGGAATTGCAGTAGGATTGGCTAAGGTTAGGGGTGTCTCATAGGAATCAGAATAGTTACAGAGCATTGAAAACCTCTGAGAAGAGAGTGATTTCATGGAGAAAATAGAAACCCCTTAAAAAAAAGATTTATTGTACCTTTATAGTAGAAAGTACCCTTTGTAGTTTTCCATTTACAGTAGATACGGAAAGCAGTGTATTGTGAAGGGAGAATTACAACTCTCCATAATTTTTTAATTATAAAAAATATGACTCACCCTTCTTTTTATACTATGCTCTTGGATACCTGCAACAGCCATCCTAGAAACTCTCCTGATTGCACAGGTTTTACACCTGTTTAAACCAGTATTTAGACCAGTGCTAATTTAGAGAGAGCTACAAAGGTGATGGACTGCAGCCCATGTGGAACCCTGCTGTATTAATGTCTATGGAATTTAATTTTAAGAGTTCTTCAAGCCTATAATTCTATCATAATAATTTCACAATAGAGTTTTTCATTGAAAATGGAAATATAGTAAAGTGGAATATTGATTTGTTCTATAAACTAACGATCCTCTGCTTGGAGTTTAACAATTGCAATTCTGCTTGCTATGCATTACTTCATACCAGTAGTTGAAAACATGCTAATTTAACAAGACATTCATACATAATGTAATAAAAGATGAAAGAATAGTCTGAGACACTGACATGAAGCTCACGGCATTGAAGATCTTAAATTATTTAAGAAATATTTGCAGAATTTTTGGAGCACATTTTTCAAGTGTGCATTCAAATGCATGGTAATTTTAAACCTGGATTTCACAGAAGAGATTCAGATGGCCTCATTAAACAAGCCCTGTTTTCAACATAAAAAAACTGTCAATATTTAAGAATAACATTTCAATCAAGAAAATCACTGTTCCAATGCATTTAAACAAAACAGTATTTTACAACACAGTGCACAAGGACTGGATGTGTCCAACTGCATCGGCTTACAGTGTGACTAGACTTTGTGTCTTCCTATTGTAAGAATATGGATTTATCAGGGATCTTTAAAAATCTCAGATGCAATATAGTAGGCACCTTTTAAGAAACCATTTAAGTTAATTTCCATTTTCATCTATTACTTGTATAACAAGTAATCTCTGCATATTAAAGCTAAGATGTCATTGAACCATCCTCAGAGCAGTACTGGAGAGAGAAAGTTTGTCA